AATTGTGTTTGCATTAAAGGAGCACGCTGGGCAACATTGTTATTAACCCTCACAGTGGGGACACCCCCACAAAGGGTGGGCTGCTCATTTTCGTCTAGGAAGGAAAATAAAAAAGTTGCATTCACTCGATCCTCAGAGCTGGTTCTTAAACTGGCCCTTCCAGCCTCACTACCCTTTCCTGCAGTGTTCTAAGGTTCCTGAGTCATCACGTTCTATACACATTGTATAGGATTTGAGAAGACTGAGGGGCATACCATCACTGTAGCGGAGGACAGAGGCTGGAGGGAGCGCTGTCATAGCTGTCCAGCTCTGAGGTTCAGGTGAGTATAATTTTAATATTGTCCTCCCTAGACCAAAACTAACCATTAATCCTTGAAGTGCGGGGGTAGCCCCACTGCAATGGTTAATACAAATTTTGCACATAGTTCTCCTCCCTAGACCAAAACTAACTGTTAATCCTTGAAGTGTGGGGGTAGCCCCACCGCAATGGTTAATAAAACTTTTGCTTGAAGTTCTTTAAAGACTTTTATGGCCTAAATTAAAAATGTGGACTTTAAAAAAAAATGTATGCTTTCATATTCGGTGGGGTGCATTGTGGTGCACTTCGGTAGGCATCCCATTCATCTGAATAGGTTGCTATGCGATGTGGTGCGATACAAGAAATCGGTAGAAAGTCACTCGCACTCCAGCTTGATCCAAAGTCGATCTTTTTATTGACTGTAGAAGTGTCACATTTCAAAGCGACGTTTCAAAACCATGTGTCCCTTCTTCAGGCAAACCAAAAGTGGTGTGATACAACACACACAATGAGATGGCTAATTCTGCTATGTGGCGCCATCCGGAGTCACTCTGAGTACCCACCCTGATGGGGGTACCTCATAAGGTGCGCAGCAGGATTCTGGAATACACATTAAGAAATAATGGCACCACAGCACACCTAAAAGTGCAACATGCAATACGGGATTGTGTGTGCTCCCGCATCTTAAAGGTGTGAACGCAGGCTAAGACAAATATAATGCTGTTGGTGACCTTCACATAAGTTTTATACAAGTCTTCTCTGGTTCATTTAAAAAAATACATTGATATCTAAATCTGTTAGGTACATACATTTATAATGGTGTATCCTCGGTGTTCATTGACAGAGCACTGCTTATGTACTTGTGTTATGCAGATTTGACCTGTGTTGTGCTGTACAGGCACAAGTGGATGCAATCAGAATATCTAAACACTTCTAGTGTCTTTGGAAAAGCATGAAGTGCTTAAATACTTCACTTCTGCTTGAGTAGTAAATGCTTTAAAATAATGTTTTGTGTTAGGAGGGACAAAGCGATTCGCAGAAAAACCCCATTCCTATCAGTGCAGCTGAATTTATTTTCTGTACGTTTAAAGCCACACACAGAAGACAGATGTAATCCAACCTAGATCTGTATTTCTTGAAAGAATTTTCGAGAAGTGTAAAATGAGCCAAGGAAAAGCACCTGCTTTGGTTTCTCACAATAGAATTTCTTGAAGGATTAACGTTCAGAGGCCAAGCTGCTAAGGTGATTTCTTGTGTTTAAGATGCATACAGTACACTGAATCCTTTCCCCCTACTTATCAAAGACATGTCACATCATACTGAAGCTCAAGAGACTGTATTTCTCATTTCATAGGCCATGGAACAGCTTTCACAAATTTGGTTGGCAGTTCTTTCCAAGGAACGCATGATCAAAGACATATATTCAAAGATTTTTCTAAAAAAATATTATTATATTCGTTGCATAATGTCTGGCTTTATTGTTGTAATGTGTGGCCCCGATAAGATTTTTGCTGCTAAAAGTACGCTACCCTGCTCTTTTCTATTATTTATGTGTGTGATTCTTTAAGAATGTTCTTCTATGGCACCTGTGAAGATGTGGGGATATGTGACCATATAAAAGTTTCTTTACTGGAATAACTTTTTTCTTCCTTCTATGTTTTACATAAAAAGAAAAAAAAATATTTTTGTCAGCGCTATATTTAAAACAGACTCTGCTGAAGCCATTTAAATCTCTTCCCCATGGGTTCCACCTCTGTTATCACCAAACAGGTTACAGATTATCTTCCAAATTAAACCTAAAATGTTTCAAAGCGTATCACATTGGCTGCTTCATGTTTTCTCTTAAAGCTAAACTCCAGGCAAAATCTAAATACATGGATGACCAGCTAAAAACATGGATGGCATGCACATAAAGGAGCTGTTCAACTTGGCAGACAGCACATTCAGCCTGAAGACTTGACTATTCTTTCCATACGGTTCTATTAATGGGAGGGTCTGGTTTATTATAACCACTATAACCTGGTGCACTTTCAGTGTTCTAATGAGGAAAGTTGCAGTGCCTGCATTCCTTTAGAAGTAATCAACCCTCTTACCAAAAATAACAAGGTGGCGAGTAACTCTTAAGGCCTGGCTAGTAGCTCAGGACTTGAAATTTTGAGCCCTGCTATAACGTATTGTAGTATTTTATCATAAATATTTAAATGTTTTTACCCATAGTCACTTAACACTGAATGGACATTCTTACACATTATTTTTCCTTCCCATGATGTCTAGGGTCCATACGTATCATGATTTGCCAATGAATGGTTCATGTCAAAGTATCTAAAAGACAAAAGTACAGAAGCGCCCTATAGGGGTAAGCTGCTGGAGTGAGCGCACTTGTGTGAACACGCAGTTCCTGAGCCACTGACAGGCTAATGAAGGGAAAGAGATTTCTCTGAAATGCATCCCTGGTTACAGCAACATAGTGAGACCCATAACCCCAGAGGAAATGGAAATGGTCAGAATTAGAGACAAACTAAAATTCTAAGCAGCTCAGGAACTTACAAGTTCGCTCTTCGGTCCCAGCATCCTTGATCTCACCAGCGCCCTACCCCTATAAGGAAAACAAAACAAAAGGCAAACGTACTCATCAATTCGTCACCAGCTTTACAGCAAGGTTCACATGGAAGGGCTTTACACAGTACAACAGCAAAAAGTTTCCCAGCACACTCACCAGCCAGCATGCAAAAAAATGCTGCTGTTTCACATTTTCTGCAGAAGACGTGTATCTAGACCTCTGTTTTAACCTTAGCGGTGAGACAAGTTTTTTTTGCATGCTGGCTGGTGAGTGTGCTGTTGTTACCCTTATAAGGGGCCCTAGAAGGCTAGGATACTTTCCTCGCTCTGCTGTGTTTTTGGCTTTCTCACAAGCTACTCATTTTGTTTATAAACTTTTGATAAAGTCTAATTTGCTACACTTTCCCGGTGCGGTTGTGTACTTTTGTCTTCTAGATTCTGAGAGTGCACTCACTCTGTTATTCAGGATTTGCAAGGCTGGATGTCGCGTCATAATTAGGCGGAGACGGTGGCAAAATTTTTGATTTTCTTGCATAACTGGACACATAATATACAGCTTGGAATGGACTATTTGTAATGTATCCCCTTCAAGACCCATATAATCCCATCATGGGGCCTAAAGGGGTTAAACAGACTCTGTTCAGATTTGTGGAGCCGGTGGCCGGCTTTACAGTAGAGGCAATTCTGGCGGCTCAGCTGCCACAAGATCACTTCTACGATCCGGTAAAGTGGCCACCCTCCCCCCGCCCAACACCCCCACCATGTTTCCTGGGCTCTGCTGCCCCGGAAGGCTGTCCTGGGATCTGCATCTCGGGTGTTGGTGGAAAGCTGGGGAGGAAAGCGGTGAATGTCCATTCACCGATCTCCTCCCCATTTAATGGGACCGGGAGCAACGCCTATTGCATCACTTCCGGTCCCTGAGCTGTCATTGCTGGGCTCCTGAAGCCCAGCAGCTGGCTATTGAAGTGTGTTCTGCACTTCAATAGCTTATTTAGAGTAGAAAGGTAATACTAGGGGTATTTTGGACCCCCTGTATCACCTTAAAGATTACCTGTCACCACCAATATACTATCAATATACTATCAGTATACTATCATATACTAATATTAAAAAATATTAAGTAAAATAAATGTAAAAATAATTTAATTTTTTTAAAGTTCCCCTTCCCCGCAAGCATGCGTGTCTTCATAAAAAAAAACACGTCGGGTGCGCCTACGTACGAAAACGATGATTCCACTACTGGGTATTGCCGCACACACCAGAGTGAGAGCAATAATTCTAGGGCCAATATTTACATGTATCTCAAAACTGATGACCTGTAGGGGCTTTTGAAGTGTCAGCCATGGACTTTTTGGGGTACTGAACTTTGTTGCAGTTTTACGGACGCACACAATTTTTAACTTGGGCATGTTGGGTATCTATTTACTCATTGTAATGTCATCTTTTATGTTTTACAAAGAAAGGGTTTTATATAGTGTTTTGGGGCACTAAATTTAACTTAATGCATTTTTCACAAAGTTTTGAGGTTTGATAATAAGTTGCGCTAATATCGTGCAACATAAAAATTTGCAACTACCACTGCGTCCTACAGGGTCTTTCAGAAAATATATAACGTTTGGAGGTTTTAAGTAATTTTCAAAATGTGGATTATAACATGTAAACAAAAACGAAAAAAAGGCTTTGGTCCTTAAGGGGTTATACTGTATTGCTACCTATGCACTACTTGGTATCAGCAATTGTGGAGTTTCTATTTCATGTTAAAGTATGATTTCCATATTCACATATTTGATGCAGCTATTTTAAGGGCCTAATTAGGACATGCAAATTGAAATATTTTTTCTAAGTTCCTTGTTTCATGAATATTTCATCTAGAAATTTTTGCAGCAATTTGTAATTCTGTTGTTTTCCACCTCGTAATCTAACATAGACCTCCTACACAGCAGGTGGTGCTGTTCTGTAATATACTACATAAGCTATTAGTTTTCAATTTTGTTATCGTCCAGATGTAGCTCCTTCAAATTTACAGATATGTTTGCTTATATAGTATATGTAGTTGGTCTAATAAATCACAAAATGCTTGCCTGAAAATTGTGTATTACTTTGCCAGACTAGTTTATATTAATCAGAAATGTATTTTTTGCAGAAATGTATAAAACTGGAAAATAATTTTGATGACATCAAACATACAACTCTTGGAGAGCGAGGAGCACTCAGAGAAGCGATGAGGTAAGTCTGAGTTGCCATGGTAACAATCATCCATGTGGTAAAGCAAAAGTCATTCTTCATTATTGGGGGAACAAATGAGTTCATTGCCACCATTCAGCTCTTTTCTCCAAGGTATTAATTTGTCACTGGATAGGCTTCCCTTGAGGCTGCACTTTGGTTTAAAGCTGCATAAATAATAAGCTTCACTGCGCTGTAAAAAAACTAAATGTTTAATGGGTTGCTTGAAATGCTTAGGGTTCCTGTGAATTATATTTATTCTAAACTATGAATGAATAGAAATTCTGATATTCCGCAAGGAGAATAAACGGCACATACTTAATAATTTAGCTAAGCTTTCTATTTATTAAACAATAGAATAAAAACTATTTCACAGAACTTTCATTATGTGCTTTTAAAAATGTGTACAAACTTTGTAATGAAGTAGGTCCTTTGGCCAGGTGTGTTAGTACAGAGGTGAATTAGTTTAGCTCTCACTACTTCTGGACAAGTGCACTCTCTTCTGATGAGAACTCAGAAGTAGTTACCATTAGATGGAAGTACACACCGACAATTTAGGATTATTTAACAACTACATTGTGTTGAAATGAACGTCATCTATAGAGGAGGGCATAGTAGTTAAAATACCTTAACTCTTTCATTATACTGAAATGCAAGCTTCCAATCACATGATCATTGTGATAACCTGTGAATGGCTATCACACTGAGGAAAATGGATATTGTGTCTTTTTTTCACCCCCCCAGAGGAGAGGAATTGTGAACAAATAGGCAAAAAAATAATATAGCTAGATCAGGATCTGATTTAGGTTAGTGTCAGGGCTGCCTGATCTAGGTTATTGTTAGTGTCAGGGCCAGTATTAGTGTCAGTGTTATTATTATTATTATTATTATTATTATTATTATTATTATTATTATTATACAGGATTTATATAGCACCAACAGATTGTGCAGCACTTTAGAAAATGGAGGGAGAAAATTAAGTTAACAATACAATTTCAATACAGGAGGTCCCTGCTCATAAGAGCTTACAATCGAGTAGGAGGAACAAGTGATATAAAAATGAATAACTGAGTGGTAAGATTTAATGGAAGAAGTGAAAGGATGGTTATTTGGAGGCTATATGGAAACACTCTGGAAAAATCCTGGAGGTCAGCATGCAAGGAGGTGATGAGAGCCGAAGAGCAGGAGGTCTTGGGAGGAGCGAACAGGGCGGTTTGGGTGATATTTTGAGATGAGCTGTAATTGTTAGTATTTTGAAGTGTTAGTGTGTTTTAGGTAGGATAAAAAAAAAGCAAAATGTACACTTTTTCTGGGCCCTATTAGGTAAAACACTTAACACATATATGTAGTATATTCGTGAACATCAGGAGCATGAGAATTTATTGGATACACTACATAGCTGCAAAGATGTGTACAGATGTTACCAACACATGACAAAGTTGAAAAACTGAATTAGGGTGTTAAGGTTTGTTTTACCTTCTATCTCCTAAGGGGCTAACTTATCCAATACCAGTTTGGCTGTTTTTTACCCTGATTTATGCTAACATTCATCAATTGCTAAGGGATTGCTTGGACAAGGTTACCATAACTGTTACTGTTTTTGCATAATGTGGTCATAATTCCTATATTTCTGTTTCTTCTAAATCATGATGGGAGTATAATAAAACTTTTTTTGGCTGCTGACTGTAATGGGCTATCTACAGTTGGTTGTGTTAGCTTCAGAACTGCTTTTCTGTCTGTGCAAGTCAATGGGAATGCAGAAACAGCTTGATGCAATTTAGAAGAATGTCAGCTGCAGATCCAATGAACCTATAGAGGCATATAGATGGAACTCAGTATCTCAAACTGTTCTTGAATGCAAGCTAAATACATCTGAAAGCATGCTGCATTTTGCCTGTAAACACCAACGCTCATGCGTATCTTGTTGCCTAGGGAAATCTTGATGTCCTCTGTTTGTGGAGCAGCACAGAATGAGACTAAAAAAAGTCAAACTGGAAACATGGTCTACCACTCATTTTAGAAGTTCTTTAAAGAATCATTTATCTAAATAAACTGTAATTTATTTTTACCTCCAATATTTAGGAAACATAATCAAACATTATTAAAATAGCAAGGATGACTAAATTGTATTGTTTTGTATTTAGTGCATACCTGTATGCATTCTTAAGATGTAAGCATGGTCCTATAATTATTTATTGTAGAAAGGGCTCATGGGGGAAAATAAATAGATTTTCAATTGTTTACAGTTATCCTGTTGTGGAAATTAAAATGCTCCAAAAAGCTGCCTGCAAAAGAAGGGTGTAAATACTTTCCTCACCCGATGCCCATGTCACTAAATGCTGCTAAGTTGATAAGGAATTATCTTCTGAAGTCTCTTAGGAAATGGACACTTCTAGGAGTGTACATTGCCTGGTCCCCCAGAGCACTCAGTAGTTTCTCACCTGGCTTCTATGTCACTATGGAATGACTAATAAATGCCCCAATGGGAGATCAAAACTCCTGGAAGTGTTAGTTTCCCAGCAGACGTCGAAGATGATCCCTCATCAACAGAGCAATGTTTGGCAGTACAGGTTGCAGGAATGGTAAGTATTAATAATCTTCTGCTGCAGGGAATTCTTTTTGAGCAGTTTAATTTTAATGACAGGTACAGGGTATTTAAGTATTGTAGTATTGTATCTGGATAATATAACAGCAACATGCACAAGAACATTCTCTCTTAGCATATTCTAACCCTTTTTCTGAAAGCAGGTAGCAATATCTTTCAAAAAATAGTGAAGATACTAACTTACCTTTTACAGAACTGTTTCCAGAAAAGAAAGACTGAACACAGCATTCTCACACACACACACACATATATATATATATATATATATATTATATAATAGGTATTGTTTTTATGTATTTATTGGCTTTGTTGGTCGATAAATTGCATTATTCCTGCATTATTGAGTCCTACTGATTCTCTTTTATTGAAACTTAGAGTTAACGTAGAACCTCCAAACACAATGGCACATTGGAAAATGGCAATTACTTTTGTTTAAATACTAATATACATGTTGTGTGAGTTTGTGCTGTTCTCAGCTCCGCTTGCATCCATTAGCCACTCTCAGGTCATCAATTATCAGCAGGAGTCCATTCAGTGAACCAGATGGTAACTTTTAAAAGTATGCATGTCTTGTGGAATTTATTGAGTATTAGTAATGATTGCTTTTAAGGAACTGACTGGTTACAGTTGTTTCAAAAGAGAAATCATTACTAGAAATAGATAAACATTATTTGTTGCATCTGTTTAGGATAAAAAAATTGCTTTAGTAACTGAAAAGCTGTGGTAAATGTGTTTGCAGCAAATATTCTCATGTCAGTTTTAGCTACTCTTTTTCATTTTAGAAACACTGGATCCCATTTGTAAAAGCTACCATAACATAGTCACTTTATAGGATAAATCATATTCTGTCTATAATTGTTCTGGTCCATGTTTGAATAACCATCAGCTTTGATCACAACAACATTCTTCCAGTTTACTATTTGCAACAAGCATGTTCATTGTATTCCACAATCTATAGTGAATATTATTTACAAACAAAAAACATATCATACCTAATCACTGGGTTTATAACTTATTTAGAGACTATGCTAAAATTCCAACAAGGGTGAGGGCAATACATTACTTAGGTGTAAAAGGTCTGTGTCCGCTAGTGGGCAACTGCCCCCGAGAGGCTGCATTGCACTTACTGTACCTCAGTGAGTCCCCAGGCAAGCAGACCATTTAGTGTTAATAATTGCACATGTATTAGTGATGAGATCAGATTGATTGAACTTCAGAGAAGTATTGCAATTACTGAACATTTCCTTGTTACGTGATTTGTAATTGCAGATCTAAAGGTACCTATATACTTGTCATTCATTATGGTCAATTACAGCTGTCGGGTGTTTATTGCTATAGAACTAAAAAAAAGGCACACACCACACATCCAATACATTCTGCAAATATATGTGGAAGGGGACAGGAGGTGGGGAAGACATTAACCTGGTATTCAACATCAAGCCCTGCATATAGGAGATGTGTACAAAATGGGTGCATCACTTGAAATGCAAGGATCTACACAGTTGTATAATGTTTCGAATTGTGAAGCAGTGTATTAAACCCTAACTCCAGGCACACCAGGACCCCCCTTCACTATTTTTGAACAAGCCCCCTTCCCACTTGTGTACCTGCACAGCTATAATTCTTTTGAAAAAAATCAATAAGTAAGTTTTTCCCTTTGCATAGCTTTATCTGGTCTGATGACTTAACCGGTCCTCTTCGCCCTCTTCTTTCTTTGCTCCTAAATGCTGCAGGGAATGTGGCATTGCTCTCTACAGCACACAGCTGTGATTTCAGGGCTGGGGGTGAAGCCTTGATGCCCTGAACTCACAGGAAGTGAGTTGAATGATGCTGGGCATGCCAATTTCTCTTTCTAAAAAATTATTTGTGTTTATACTGTCATGTAACATTGAAACATGTAACAAATACAAGTACTAAAGAATGCTATCTTCAGCTATCGTCAATGTTTTAAAGATGTAACAAGTAACTTGCAACTGATTTACTAAAGAAATAGAGACTGGTTACTTATGTGAATTTTTCACTGAGCTTAATAAATAAATGTGCTGGCAAAAATCCTGCTTTTTTAAAATTTCCTTTGCACGTGAATAAGTATTTGAAGTGAACATAGTTCACCTTATTTACTAACATTTACTTTGTAAAGTGTACATACATTTAACAGAATTATAGTTCATGTTGCTAAATGAACACCCTCTATTTCTCTAGTAAATCAGCCTCGATATCTACTAGTAGCACCTTAAAATGAGCCTGCACGTGCAGCTTCCCTCTACATACCTTTGGTCTGGGAACTAGAACCAAAAAGTGAATTGAATCTTCATGCATACCAGTGAGTGGTCACCACTTTGCTTAACTGTAAGCGATTTATCTATGGTTGATAAATCATATCATATAAATGTGTCTT